AATATAGATATTATCAGTAAAAAACAATGTATTTTCCAAACCCCTCAAAGATAATCTAGTGAAGAGTGACATTGTTTGATACTTTTGCAAATCTCTTTGGTGATCAGCTTCCTAGAAGACAACTAGATTCTCGCATCTGTGCATGCATTTGTGATACATTCTTTTGGTTAATGATAACAGTGAAAATCTACCAGTGCAAACTTGGGAAAGGAAGAAGTATTTTAATAATTTTTTCATATAATTATGGCTGTTCTTTGGTAACTACACAAGTCTTATCAAGTAAAGTTTCTTAAAAGGTTACTTGTAATGTGGAATCTAAAACTGCCTCAGTGCACTGTTCATGATGTTACATTACAATCCACTGATCCGGACTGGTGCTTGATCTTTGACACCATGTGTGACTTTGACACATCAGGCTGTGGTCATTTGGAAAATAGTGGTTCACTGGCTCATCTTCCAAATGCTGGCCCCTTTCATCAAACAGTATCCAAAAGGCCTACTTCCCAGTGTCACAGCCAATCTGCCAGAAGAGTCCTTCAGGTCCTGGGATGTTCTTGGACACACAGTGGAGGCACAGGTTTTCCAAAGTAATGATTTTTGCTTGAAAGTTTGCATTCATCATTGGCAACAATAAAACTATCAGTTGTTTTGCTTGAAGTAACACACTCACTTTATTTTTGAGAAAATATCTGCCAGATATACAAGCAGGAATAATCAATGTTTGCCTTTCAAGCAAAAATAGAATCCCATTTAAAAATAAAGTATGTAGTTTAACTTGCAACTAAAACCATCTGAGAAATAATTTTCATCAAGATAACCATCATACCATGGTATGCACTAAAAGTGTTCTATGTATACTCCCATTTCTAGTGCATAGAATATTAAAAACATTAGCACTCAGGGACTGAGATTTAGTAAAACTAATGATTTTATAGCTTCATCCAAGATTAGCAAAACTGTGAGTCTGTGGTGAGAATGACTCCAGTGACTAGAGTATGGTTTGGGCCACCACCTTGATACTTGCACATGTGTCGGCAGGTTTTTCTACCAATGCTTTTGATCTTCAGTGTGATGTCAACACAGTGAAAAAGGCAAATCACATCTTAATATCTTTATGATAAAGGCTGCTGGGTGGCGTAGACAGTTGTGCTCAACTACTGGCTGAACGAAAGGTGGTTTGCAACCTCCCAGAGGTGCCTCAGAAGACAGTCTACTCAGAAGCCTAGCAGTCTGCCTTAAAAACACTGTGGGGAGGTTCTCCTCTGTACACATAGGGTCACTGTGAGTTGAATCTACTTGACGGCAACTAACAACAACAATTTTTATTATAAAAGAAAGCAGTGGTGGTTCGTAGTAGAATTCTCCTTTTCCGTGCAGCAGTCCTGGCTTTGATTCGTGGCCAGTGCACCTCTTGCACAGCCATCCCACGTTAGTTAGTGGAAGCTTGCATGTTGCTGTGAATGTGCACAGGTTTCA